GTATTTTATTAGTGTACAATTTCTTTTTATTTAATGATTGTAACATCATAAGTTATAACTTATAAGTAATAACACTGTTATAATAAAAAAATAAGCTATAGAGTTATATAAAAATACAAACTTAAAACAATTAATTCATTTTATTTTAATAACTATCAAGGCCCAGATAATTGGAAAATTTTTTCTATAAGGTAAAATTGTGCTATTCTTTGATAAACTCTTAAATGTAAGTAAATTTTCCATAATTTTCTAAATAATTATTAAATATCTTAATTTGTTATTATAAAAATGTAATAACAGGATACACTTCGTTATTCAATATTTATATTTTAAATGTCAGCTAAAACAATTTTGAATAAAGAAAGTTTTATTACTGATTATAAAATAGGTATTCTCATTCATTTTATAATTTAATGATTTTAAATAATGTTCAAATAGTCGTAAGCAAATATGTCTGTTATATACAAAAAGCTATAATTTAAAAATTATTAATTTGCCCATGAAGTTTAATAAAATTGTATTTTCCAATATTAAATTTCGTTAATAACAATAGCTGACCAAAAAAATATTTCTCAGTTTTAAAATAATAAATGTCAATATTTAGAAACGCTTCGTTCAAATTAATTTTAAAATATTAAATCACTGTGGAGATTAAATATATTTTATTTTACATAATATTTACCCAACTATAAAATATTTTTGGTAGTGGGGTGAGGACTATATTATATAGTATATAATATAATACAGGTTTATTAGGGTTGTTACTCGACACACTTTACTAGATATTGCTATATGAACATTAAATATACTTATGTGCTTTACCATAAAAGTAAAAATGGTAGGTACACAAAGTATACAGACTAAGCCACGGCGTTTTTATATTTTCCCATAGGCCATGAGGCTGACATCAAACACAGGCTAACACTATATATTGTAAAATTAAATAACATTTAATAATAATTATATACTATCTACACTTGAACTCTAAAATTAAACGGTTTCAATCCCCACATGTTGGTTTTATTATTTTCAAATAAATAAGTAATTTGAAACCAAATTTATAATATTAGTATAACGAATACGGTGTGTGTGATTAACTCACAAGGCTAAATCTTGCGTCGTCGTCCACTTCGATGTATATCTCGTGTACCTTTCTGAATTTCTGATTAACCTTCGTAGCCACGCTAACACAGCCATCATACAGAAATGAGCTGCTACATACTGGACGAATACAAACATATTTAACAATAATAAGAAATAATATATAAAATTATACAGTAATATATAAAATTATACAGAAATTTACAAAGTACTACTGGACAGAACGACAATACGCAGGCGTGCAGAAAAACAAATGGACGCGATTTTTAATAAAACAGCTGGAGGCTTGACTATTACAGTATTACCCCAGTAACACTTGGATTCCAGGGAGTGTAACCGCCTAGGATGTCCCTGGGGAGTTAATATTCATAAAATATAACTCTGCGCATCCCATTATACTCCATGTCTGGAGTTCAGTTAAGGATTCCGTACATCCTCCTAGGAACTCTCCTCGGGAATTGAGAATAGTATTTCACTTTGTGGCGTTGGTGCATATATACACAGCACAATATGTATTATATATAAACAGCATGTGCAATCATGACTGGATTCTAGTTGAGTCCATACAACTAGTGTTATGGAATTTCAAATCGATCGAAAACGACTGTCGAAAAGGGTTATTCGATTAACAATTTTCAATCGAAATAATTGTTTCGATCGTTTTTTTTCGACCTGTGCTATTCTTTATTTTACGGAAGCGTAGTAGTGAAACTAAAAAAAAAAAATATTGTTATTTTGACTTTTAAATTCGACATTTCGATTTTTAATTTCGACATTTCGACTTTTAAATTCAACATTTCGACTTTTAATTTCGACATTTTGAGTTTTAAATTTCTACTTTAAAATAATATCGACTTCCAAAGTCAAAATTTCAATAATGTAGACTTTAAATTTTGACTTTTAAATTCGACATTTCGACTTTTAATTTCGACATTTTGAGTTTTAAATTCGACTTTAAAATAATATCGACTTAAAAAAAATTAAAAATGTTGAATTTTAATTTCAACATTTCGACTTTTATTTTCGACATTTCCATACAATTCTACTTATAAATTGTTTATTAATTTGCTCAGAACCGAATAAATGCTATAAAATAATGCTTCCCTAATAGCACAATCCTCCCACGGGAAGTTCCTATTTTATTCCCGCGTGGGAAGACACTAATGGGAAGTTAACAGGTAGCCATTTGTCCTACACCGAGAAGACTCAATAATTTATACATGTATGAAAATAAATATATAAATATATGTATAAATATATGTATATTATATATATGTAATAGATATATAGGTCAACGTCATTATAATCATAGACCAATGTTATAATCATATTATGCACGCATATATAATATGCTGCCTTATATACCGCCACATATATAATGGGTTATAAGTTAGGCTAATATTTTATGATCGGTTTTTGTAAAGCATTCTTTCCCTCGCGCGTGACGAGCGCTTCCCCGCAGTAAGGCATTTGGCTGGCTGATCATAATATAATAACGTTATCATAGAGTTAATCTGCGACAACGGTTAAATTTTTTCTGATCCTATCTAAAAATAATAATTATAATAAAATTGGTTATTTACGCTTAATTCAAGTATTTGAAAAAATTTCCGGAAACTTCAAAAGTTATGGCAATTCAAAGTTGTCAATATTAAAAAATATAGGTACTTTTGAATGGACGAGCGAGTGACCACGCTGGGAATAAATATACTTAGAAACAATATTGAGGAAAACCGAGGTTTACCTGAGGTAGTTCACACAGCAAATAGGGGGATATTTTCGATTTGCGGAGCGGAGCGACGTCGCCGAGGAGCGTAGCGACGAGTGCCGATACACGCGTAATCGCTGCAACATTGATATGCCATAACTTGTGAGAACAGTGAGTTTCCGGAAATTTTTGTAACTGGGAAATGGTGTAGCCGGTGGCATGCAAATTTAAAAAGTTTGAGAACCGCTGGTCTAAAGCCCTGTTCACACGATCAAATAATTTGTCAAATATTTGACATTCGTCAAACTCCAAATATTTTAGAACCATTTCTAAAATATTTGAAGTTTGACATACATCAAATATTTGACAAATTATTTGATCGTGTGAACGGGGCTTAAAGAAACTAAAATGTATACAATACAAACTATTACAAATAATACATTTCTATGTATCAAAATTAGAAAATTCTGAATTTTACATATATTTATATTTTTTTTAATTCTATGTTAACGTTATTATTTGATAAGCCAGCCAAATGCCTTACTGCGGGGAAGCGCTCGTCGCGCGTGGGTTTCCCTGCCGCGGTTGGCTACACCGGTTTTGGCAGTTAGGCACCAGAATACCAAATTGTTCTATGGCACCAGAGAGAGCGACTGCCGACTGGCGACTGCTTAGAAAACTAAATAAAAACTTCGATTTGTAGAAGTGTAGAAGGTAGAACTACTAGAACTCTGAGAGTTCAACTCTCCCGTTGCACCGCCATTTTATGCATAATACAACACACTACTTAGTGTAGTAGTAAGTAGTCCGTGGTAATTACTTTTCAGTTTTATGTGATACAAGTATACAACACTACAACACGTACGTACCTATACGTATACGTTCGACGGCAAGCCAATACTGCATGGATAATTTAAGGTAAGCATAGTTTAATACAGTAGTAACTAGTAATACACCATCAAACACCAATACATGCATAAATACTTCTTAATATTAAGAAATATTTAGATCAGTAAGTTAGTATGTGAACTAGCTGTAACTATTAGTCCTGCTTTTGTTAGCTTTAGTTTTATAATTAATTTTACTCTGTAACCAATATCAATGTCACTGTTACTCTTTTTGGTTGCACTTACAAAAACATGTTTATGATTCACAGGCGTGGATCTAAGAATAATAAATATTATATAAGGAGGGGGGGCTATCTGTATAAAGATGAAAAATTTACTTAAAGTATACAAAAGCATAGGCATTAAGCTTAAGTTTTTATAGTGACTAAAATATTCAACATCTATGCATATTATAATAATTTATTTAATAATACTTCACTGCACTTCCCCTGGCCAATTTGAATCCAACAAGACCCCAAACAACAAAATCCATTCTCCAGTTTCGGAAATCTAGCGAAAAATAACTATTTTTTAAACGGTGAAAAATTAAATTATTTATTTATTTATTTACACATTTAGGTATGTATCTACTTGATAATCCCTTTTTAATGAGCTATCAACCAACTCTCTAGCTGTAATAGTTTAGGAAGAAAGTTAAACTAACCTAACCAAGAAAATTCTAAATTGCCAGAAGTGACTGAAAAAATATATGAACTTCTAGAAAATGTGGGGTTTCAGTTTATTTTACCTACTGTAATACCTGGGGTAATACCTGAAACCAGATCTACTGCAAATCCAAGTAAAACGTTTGTAGAAAAATTGGCATTGTTGGCAATTGAAGAAAATATATCTTTACAATGTATGTCCAAGGTATTACACTTGTTAAGGACTCATGAATGTTTTAATTATTTACCTAAAGATGCAAGGACACTGCTGAAAACTCCAAGAAGTGTCATTACAAAAAGTGTCTCACCTGGACAGTATGCTCACATTGGTATAGAAATTGGACTTATTAAATATTTGAATAGTTTAGATATAAATTCGGTAAAAAAGATTGATACGTTAACACTGATGGTTCATATAGATGGATTACCTCTATCTAGGTCAAGTAGAAGTGAAGAAGATGGCCTATATTAGGATCCATTTTTGAGTCATATTATGTCTTTGTCATTGGAATTTACCATGATTTCAATAAAAAACCTGATAGCTCTAATGACTTTTTAAATGATTTTGTTATTGAACTAAATGTATTACTTAAAGAAGGCATATTATTTGATGGAAAATTATACAAATTATGTATTAACATGATTTGTGCCGATGCGCCTGCAAAATCATTTGTATTAAATTTAAAAGGACATAGTGGTTTTTATAGTTGTACAAAGTGTGATGTTCACGGAGCACGGACTGACAATAGAGTATGCCTCCCAGATTGCAGTGGGCCACTCAGATCAGATGCTGATTTTGTATTTCGTACAGATCACAATTACCATTTAATGAACAAAGAAATAAGTGCACTTCAATCCATTCCAGGAATAGGACTTGTAACTAATGTCCCTCTTGATTACCTACATTTAGTATGCCTTGGTGTGATGAAAAAAATGATAATGCTTTGGATGAAGTCTCGTAGGTATAATGTTCATATTCGTCCTGTTCAAGTTCAACAAATATCCAATTTTCTTGAAAATATAAAATGTTTTGTTCCATTTGAGTTCAATAGAAAACCGCGATCCCTTTTGATGTTCAAACAATGGAAAGCAACTGAGTTTAGGCAATTGCTATTGTACACGGGTCCTGTGGTTCTAATGAATGTTGTATCAATTGACATACATTCAAATTTTCTTACACTGCATGTAGCAATTACTATTTTGTGTTCAAAACGTTTGTGTAAACAACCTGTGTTTGTTCAATATGCTGAAGATCTGTTGAAACATTACGTTGTAACATTTGGAAATTTGTACGGACATCAATTTATTAGCCATAACATACATGGTCTTTTACACATAACTGAAGATGTTCGTCATTTTGGTCCTTTAGACAACTTCAGTACTTTAAAATTTGAAAATTTCATGCAACAAATAAAAAAACTAGTTCGCAAATATGATAGACCATTGCAACAAATTGTTAAAAGACTCGGTGAATTAAATAATCATAAATCAAAATATGTGTCTTGTGATGATGACTATAGATTTAAATTTGAAAATCCTCATGAATCCAGACCGTTGACAGAAGGATTGTTATCACCAGGGTACAAAAAAATTATTTGTAAAGACTATGTTCTAATTGCAAATGATATAAAAAATAACTGTTGTATTTTGGCTAATGGAAGTATTGTTTTAATTGAAAATGTAGGATTCAGTAATGACAAAAGAAGCCAAATGATAATAGGAAAAGAATATTTTAAAAAAATAGATTTATACACCATACCATGTAAATCTTCACTATTAGGTATATACAAAGTGTCTAAATTATCTAGAAGAAAGGCGTGGATGGTTTCAGATATCATAAATAAAGGTTTTATATATTGCTCGGGTTCTCCAATGTGGAAGGTTGTATTTCCAATACTACATACAGACACCGAAGAAATACAGTCCTTATAACAATAATCTTTATTTTGTTTTAATGTAAATAATATTTATAGTATTATAATTTTAGTAAATAACCTATAGCTTATCTCCGTATCATATAATATTAATTACTATATTAATTTGTATTATTAATTTATATATCCAGATGTATACCTAAATAAAATTGAAAATATAAATATTTTTGTTTTTAACTTTAAATATTTACTTACTATTTTGATCATAGATATATTTTGAATTAATTCAAAATATATAATAAATAATAATATAATACAAATAATATAATATATAATAAATAATTATTACCTGTTATAGACAGTATTGGGTTATCGAGTTTGATGATGGCATCCAAATTGTACATTTGTACCAAAATCTTGGTTATTAGAAAATAATACCAATTGTTACTATCCTAATGATTTAGGTAATGGTCCTAATGTACACAAAAAATATGATGTGATGGTTAAACATTTAGAGCAACCAAAGAACAATTGGGAAATATATGATATTAAGCATATTTGGGGTTCAGATGGTATGTATGTTATATGTATAGTTCCTAAAATATTTATTTATTGTTAATAACTTATATTTCAGATGATTTTGTGAAAGCTAAAAACAAATTAATCCGTGTAGAAAATACTGATGATTCGTGCATTACAGATGATAATCTCTCTAATGCCAAAGAAAAAATACGCATCAAATGTCATAAACAATCTAATACAAAAGAATTGTCACATTGTCAAAACCAAAGAAATAAAAAATTGACTTCATCTCCAAGAAAATTAATTTTAAAGAAAAAAATGCAAAAAAAAAGTTCACAAATGGGATCATTTAATACTCTATCTCTCCCAGCAGTACCATTATTTTCTAATTAACATCAATCAGGCAAGCTTTAAATTTAATCTTTATGTACAATTTACAATGTTTTAATAGTTTTTTTTGTTAAAGGTTCTGAAACTCAAAAGAGTCAACATTTTACAATTTCCAGACAAGATGAATCTAACAACATTGACGACCCAGCAGTACCAATATTTTCTAATTCACATCAATCTGGCAAGCATTAAATTTAATCTTTGTGTACAATTTACAATGTTTTAATAGCTTTTTTTTTGTTAAAGGTTATGAAACTCAAAAGAGTCAACATTTTACAAATTCCAGACAAGATGAATCAAACAACATTGACGACTATCTTGTGAATACTCAGTCTAGACATTATTATGACTGAATGAGTAGGCAGTATAATGTATTTAGCGAAGATATAGCTGATTGTGATGTACGATGTTCATCTCCTAAATCTACAAATATAGCTGGTACCTGCGTTAATAGTGTTATAATTGAACTAACATGGCATTATAAATATGATACTTTGTACAACTTATTTCTGATACTTTAAACCTAAGAAAAATACTTGTTTTATAGTTCATATTACCTTATATTATAACACATAGTTATTATAATAGTTTAATTTTTCACCCTTACACTTTTAACACAGACAAACAAAAAAAAATTCCATGTAGAATTTCATACTATAACAAACCCACAATTTAATAATATGTGAAATTGTTGTATGATTTCTATACAATAAATGACATTTTATTATCAAATAATAATTTTGGTTTAAATATCTTATTTTTAGGTCTAAAAAGTTCAAATTCAGCTCAAATGGTAAAAAGTACCCAGAGTAGAACTATTACTAAAGATAAATGTAACTGTGGTCAGTATTTCTAAGTATTGTAATTTTATTATTATATGTGAACCTAACTATACCTATAACCTCTATGTGATATAGAGCTATAGCTATATGTATAATATAATAAATGTTTATTTTAATTTAAACATGCATTAATATTGGTTTTTAAAGATTTAGTTCAGTATTGATTTTTAAAATTATAACTTTATCATTTAAAATAATTATTTTTACTTAAATAAAATTTCTATATAATACATACAGGTATAACTCCAAACCGCTCCAAACACAGCTGAATTTATAGTAAACACTTTATTTGAAATCAAAACTAAGATGAACGTAGCCCTTGCCAAAATCGATGATTTAGACAAGAAACAAACAACTGCGTTACCAATGGATGATGATAATTTTGATATTAGTGAATTATTCCCAATTGTTGATATTCAACACTTGGCTATTGTTGAAGAAAAATTGGAAAACAAACATTTATTTAACAAATATGTAAGTTATTTCTATAGGTAGACTATTCTACAGTTTAAATATTTTGTTAAAATTTTTATTTTCAGAAGACAAAAAGGTTCCATTTAACAGCTAGAAATGTAGATGAAACAGTTAAAATTTTAATGGGAACAATTTTTTCTAAAAATATTGCTCCTTCAATCAGTTTTACAGGTAAAGGTAAAACTGTGAATGGGTTAGAAAAGAAGGCTCTAATCAAAATGAAAATATTTGAAATCTTAAAAGGTAATTGAACTATTTATAAATGTCATGATTTTGAAATATAAATGAGTATTTGTTTTTACTGTATGTTGTAGAAGTAACTTTTCATAAGCATTGTAATTCAAACATCAAAGAATTAAAACTATCCATTATATCATGGTTTAAACATGCAACAGAAAGAAAAAATAGGTCACATGCTGCTATACAACGTTTAAACCACAATAATGAACGCAACAAGACAGTCACTGCCGCCATAATGGACCACAATGATGATTCAGACGAGTAGCATCAAACAACTCAACTAATCCAGACTTTTACTTAATCAATCTCAAGATATGTTTTAAGTTATGATATTTATCGAAAGTCTGATAAAAAGTCAGTATTATGTATTTTTTTTTTTATTATTAAGTTTTTAATGTCAATCCTCTAATCTTCTAATAACTAAGAGGTGTAGACATTTTTTTATGATGTTCAAGTTTTTACTTTTTTATAATTTTTTTAAAATACTATATATGGTTAAAATTTATAATATAGTCAGTAAAATTATTTATTATCTCCACAGAGTATGTCGCATGAAAAAACTCAATTGATTTACTTATTAGTTAATCAATCTCAATAAAATATGATTTAAGTTGTTATTTATCGAAAGTCCGATAAACAGTCAATATTATTAAGTATTTTATTATTTTTATTATTAAGTTTGTAATGTCTATCTTCTAATATAACTAAGAAGCATAAACACTAAACAGCTCAAAAAGAGTCAAAATATTTTCAAAATTGTATGGTGTATAGGAAATGCTAATATAAACATTCAGTGAAATTTTCATGTATCTATAATAAGTTATTCGTTTATGAATAACAACAAAATAAGGAAATCGCTACATGAGAAATCGAGTGAACATCCAATGTTGTAAAAATTTTAATTTCAAACGATCATAAAAATTTAATTTGACTGTCCGGTAGAGATTTTTTTATTGATAAAGGTAGACAAACTTATGAGTAATCTTGTATTACATTTTAAAATCTTAGATTTAAAAAGAAAAATTTTTATGAATTCTTAACTCAAAATAATTTGCTAACTTTCGTGATTTTTCCATATCTTGTCAATTTTTGAACTTTAAATGCTTATAAAAAAAAACTGTGACTAACGATTTTTAATATTTTAAATTTTTCATCTGCCTTTGAAACAATATACTAGGAGCCTTCTATTAAATTTTCAAGAATTTTTACCCAACAAATTAAATGTTATTGATATTTATAGAAAATCGTATCTGACAGTTCTTTTGTTAATGCAATGCATACTTCTGGTATGATACTAGATATTGTAGATATTGTATTATTTTTTACATTTGAAAATTTCACTTTTCGTGCTTTTTTGGTTGTATATAAATATATAATTAAACTCCACTTTAGAAGGTTTATATTTTTTTTTATAAGAATATACTAGTACGTATACCACAGATGCTTGTTGTCTCCGTATTACAAACCTACGACATGGCAAATTTTCGTTCGCTAGTTTCAATAATGTGCTGTTAGTTTTTACATCAGAGTGAATGGTGATGGTCAATTATTAATATTTACTATGGATCTATTATTAAACTTTTAGTTTAGAACATTAGCTGGGCTTAAGCGTCGGCTTTTATTCGATATTTAAATTTCCAAGCAAGATATGATATATCACAAATTAAAATTCTCTTATCCCGCTTGAAAATTAAAATATGGAATAAAAGCAGACGCTTAAGCACAGATAATGTTCTTCACTAAAAGTTTAATAACAGGTCAAAACACTCTAATATAAAAACTCACAGCACATTATTGTAACTAGTGAACGAATATTTGCTATGTCGCTCCCATGTAAAACCGATAACAAAAGGATGGGTAACGTCCAGATATAATTTTAAAAAAATGAAATAAAATAAAATCGTTTAAAATGTAATTTAAGAAATAAATTTATATTTTCAATATGCTAAAATATTTTTTAGAAAAGAAAATTTCTCAGACTCATTAAATTTATGTTTAATCATTAAACTGAATTAAAGATATTTTTTTATCGATATCCACTATCAAGCTAGTTGTCCAAATTACTCTATAATAATAGTGATAAATATCTAACCTTAGATTATCAAAAATAGTCCGTAGGATTAAAACAAGTAAAATAAAATAGATACTTGGCGTGAACCGTGAAGATAATTTTTAAGACAATATTAGACTAATATTAATTATTATTTCTTTTTCTTAACTCCAAATAAGATTTAGAGGATTTTAAATTAATTAATAAATTAATTGAATAAATGTATTTTTTTTTAAATAGGTGAATGGTGAACAAACTATCTTAATGTTTATACATTATTTAAATTCAAATTTGATCGATAAAAATCAACGAATGTTAATAGTGACTTTTTGTATACCTACTAGATATTTAGTATTTACATTCTTATAAACAATTATTTTGTATAAACCTAGGTTACAATATATTAATATATTATTAACAACAATTAACATTTTGAATGGGCCAAAAAGTGTAAAAATTTAATACAAGGTTCCTGATATATTGTTATTGTAGCAATTGAAAAATATTAAAAATACATAGGCACAATTTTTTTCTATAATCATTTAAACATCGAATTTTGACAAAATGTATCATATTTAAAATTGAATAATTATTTTGTAGTTAAAAATTTATAAAATGTTCAACTTGTATATCTAAGGATTGACAATTTAAAACAAGATTCCATGAAGTAGTTAATTCTGTTACCAAAAATCTAAAAAATACATAAGCACAGTTCATTTTTATATTCATTTTAAGTTCAAATTTGGACGAAATTACTTGTTAAAAAACCTTGATTAACTATTTCAGTTATTTTGTTGTGATTCCATAATATTATTCTTGGGTAATTAAAAATGCTAAAGTATACTATTATATATCTATTATAGTATCACAGTTTGTTATTGATGTATAACAAGTTTTAAGTACCTAATGGCTATTGTGATATTATGATTAATTTGAAATTTATTATAGATACCATTTTTTTTAAAACCATAGATAAGTATATAATATGTCTTATACCTACCTAGACTGTCATACCGTCTCCGCTCAGAATCGTTTTTCTTATACACTGATATATCATTGAATTCAAATTTATTTGAATTTATTGAATTTATTTCAATTGGATATACACTCGATTTCTCATGTAGCGGTTTTGTTATTTTATTGTAATTCAAAAACGAATAACTGTAGATACATGAAAATTTTACTAAATGATTATATTTTCATTTATTTTACACCATAACATTTTGAAAATATTTTGACTCTTTGGTCAAAATATTTTTTGGGGGGTTAGTCAAAAGTTTCTAGTAGTTTTTAAGTGCGTCGTGAAAAACAAAAGAAAAATTAAGGAAAAACGGTAATTTTTACGCAAAATTGATTTTGGTTTTTGGCTTAACTCTAAAAAAAAAATTACCGTAGGTACATGAAATTTTGACTAGATGTTTATATATTAGCATTTCTATACACCATAACATTTTCCAAATATTTTGACTTATTTTGAGCTATTTACGGACATTTTCAGTTTCCATTTTTTTTTAGGTTTTTTATCTATAAATATCAATAAAATTTTATTTGTTAGTAAAAACGCTGGGAAATTTAATAGAAGACTCCTAGTATTATGTTTCAAAGGCAGGTGAAAAAAATCCATACATTATATAGGTATATACAGTAGGTTAGTTTAAAATCTCGAAATTGGATAACGTTAACCTGTCAAAAATAAAAAAAAGAGAAGTCACTCTTCTGTGGGTGTCAAATGTACCTCGTCACATTGCAGAGTTGGTTACGGCAATAATGTACCTAATATACTCGTATATGGATATGTTAGAGTTAGAGTACCTAGGTATATGATAGTGCACAATTAATTGTTGTTCTCTTTCTTTTTCTCTAACCCACGCACAACATAATATAATATACATTTTCGTAGGTAACCTACGAGTACCTTCATCGTAGGTACTAGGTATATGAATCATGGTACAAACCACATACCTACAGCTTTTAAACCTCGTTAGCTACGCGAATACATACCGATCAGGCCGGGCTTGTAGTAATAAAAATATATTTATAACAATGGAAATGTTTACATGGTAAATGGCGATGAGGTACCTATTCATCAAACTTCCCCAGCAAGCATAGGCGCACATAGGGGGGTGCTTGGGGGTTAGGTTAGCACCTCCAAGCTTCAAACTAGCACCCTCAGTTTATTTCAGTATTTCACCAATCATTTATAAACTATCGTGGTTTATTGGTTCGGAATTTTTCTTTAAACAAATATTGACAACTGTTTACGAATTCACGAATTCATTTTTTTTTTTTTTTTGTCTGTCATCATCTTTTAGGACAGTAAAAGTGCTTGGATTTTCTTCAACAGTATCTTTTCTGATAGGAAAGTGAATCTATAGTTCAAATTTTGACAAAATTTATCACATTTAAAATTTAATAATAATTTTATAGTTAAAAATTTATAACTTTAGAAATTATTGTATACACTATACAAATTAAATCTAATGCAATGCAGAAATATTAGGATTAGGGGGTGTGGGGGGCAAAGTCCCCCACGGATCTGTGAACCATAAATTATCCCAGCACCCCCTAAATTCACACCCAATGTGCGCCTATGCCAGCAAGCGGGACCAAAGTATCTATAAATGAACAGACGATAGTTAGCGATAGTGTTGTGTACTCGTATATTATAATTTATGTTTTATACCTCGTGCCTCGTGGTCTCGTGAATATTGTTACACTGTTAAATAATTCTATTCCCGACAGTTTCGGCCTTTAGGGTCTTTTAAGTTTTAAATATTATAATTATTTCGAGTCTTAACTAAATTAACTGTTTAACGTGCGTTTTTCCTTCAACAATTATTATAAATCGTTTTCTCGTGAATCCGGCGAATTATCCAAATTACAAAAATGATCATCCACCAACTTCTATTGTTCAAGTGCGACCATTGTACCAATTAACGAAAACGATACATTGTAATATTCTTAACATTTAAAAGTGTTTTTTATTTTTTATTATAATATTAAGATGACATTTTATGTATGATAAAAACAATATTTTTTAAAAAATTGTAAAAGCTGAGTTAAATTTTTTTTATTCGGCCGCGACACCTAAGTTAAAAAAAAAAGTAACATTTTCCAAATTTTTTTCTATCGACGTATAGATTGCCATTTAAATAAATAGTATGGCTCAGTTTGATTTGTGAAAATAAGCTCCTTCCTTTTAAAAACCTAAGTAACGTAAACATTGTTCTAAAAACTGTTTTAAATCCTTTTTCCCAGTTAAAACTAACATTTTTCAATATTTTTTTTGGCTAAATTATTATTCAACGGTGCCGGAAACTATCTAGCTTAGTTTTGAAGTTCGCTCGAGAATCCTTCCACTAAAAAATTCACTAAAAGTAAAATTTGTATTAAAAAAGTTATTTACAGGTATATAACGCCAACAGGTAAGTTCGAAATAAATGTTTGTAGGGGGTTTTTCTTAATATTTTTCCTCAGAAATACATATTTATTTGAAGATAGCCGCCACTGAAATAGTTATTATGGTTTTATTTTTATATAATATTTAATTACATGATTTAAATCTGTTAATAGTTATTCTGTATTTGGTGTGTGTCCACAAAAATAAAACAGGTGCTTGTACGCCCTTTAAAATATGAAATAAATATTATTCGATCAATAGTAGATTTTCAGCGAGGAAACGATGTCTATATCGCTGAAACACACAAACGATACGTATTGGCCAAAAAAATTGTTACCATTAGTGCGAGCATATGGCCACATATGTAGGTCACCACTTACCAACGATAATAATATCATATTATAATGGTGATTAATTTTTTAGTTTTGACTTCCAACGTCCTTGTACAGCATAATATAATAGTATAATGTCTCGATGAATTCATGTCAAGGATCAGGAAAAAATATCGAGATTGGTCAAAGGCACAGGTCAAGCCGCGATACTTAAGTGTAAAATAGCTGTTGGAAAAAAAAAAGAAGCAACAACAGGTTTTCGCTCCATTAATTAATAAATAGTTTCTATACAGTAAAATCGAGAAAACATAATAACTATAAAAGAATCCTGTCAATAATATAGGTAGTACTGTTTCTTTTGGTATAGGCTAGTAGCTAGGCTACGAGTCATTTAATCGGAATGCATAATATAATATAATTTATTGTAATATAAAAGTCACAGAGAATTAAATTATATTGATATACGATACATGAATTTATAAATAAAAATTATAAATACTATAAGGGTGAAACATTTATTATTATTATGGTTTCATTAACTTAGGTCAGAATGACCGTCAAAAAAATGTGTGTTATAATATAATATTATGATATATTATGTAGACGACGATTAATAAGGGATTATGTAGTTGTTAAAATTACGCTCGTTGTAATGGAGGTGGACTAGCTTTATCACTTTTCTCTTTATCCTCTTTGTCATCGTCGGTGGACGATGAATCGTCTGTGTTCTCTCCGGACTCGTTGGACCCTTCGGTTTCTTCGGATTCGTAGGACTCGGGTTCCGGAAGATCTCGGGGAAGATTCTCGTCTGCATCGTTGGACTGTTCAGACTCCGTCAACTCGTTTGACTGTTCAGAGTCCTGAGCCTCGTTGGACTGTTCAGAGCTCTGGACCTCGTTGGACTGTTCAGAGCTCTGGACCTCGTTGGACTGTTCAGAGCTCTGGGCCTCGTTGGACTGTTCAGAGCTCTGGACCTCGTTCGACTGTTCAGAGTTCTGGGCCTCGTTGGACTGTTCAGAGCTCTGGACCTCGTTCGACTGTTCAGAGTTCTGGACCTCGTTCGACTGTTTAGAGTCCTCTTTCGAATGATCTGACTTTACAGAGCCAGATTGTTTTGAGTCTACAGAAGAACTGCTCTCCAACTCTTTCCTCAGCCGCTGTTCCTCTTCGGAGTCGAAGGTCCTGCGTTGTCGGTGTAATTCCTGTGACACCATGGGCTCATGCCCCGCTAGTTTCTGTACCACTTCGTTCGTGATCAACATGGAATCGTAAGTTTTGTGATCCACGACATTCTGCCTGTAAAACACAAACGTCGTAAATATAAAGGGTAGGCATTAACTTACTAGGTAGTTAAAAAGATCAAGTTGAGTTATATCGCTTTTTTTTAACTTAACTTAATTTTCTAATTAACTTGAGAAGTTATAACTATAGTTTAATTTGACTGTTGGAATAATTTGGCTCTTTTCAGTTAATTTAAAAATAATCCTTATTGTAGTTAAGACTAAAAAGGATTTTAAAATCTTTGTTTTAATGGTTTTATCTATACAATTATTTTTATATATTTTTATTGCTCTAATAGATTCTTAAAATATGAAAATTATCATATATGATTTTTATCGTTACGAAGTCTTGCCATTATTATTGAATCGGTTACACATTTATAATCATAAATCTAGCTGGCTCTGACTCACTAAACCCTGAACATACTTTGTGATTTTGTTAAACAGCTTGTTATCATAGTTTTGAAAATTAATATAACTACTTAAAATCATATAATAGTACACACATTTAAATGCCATCGAGGTTGTGTCACAACAATCGTCATTAGTTTAATAATTGGTTTATAGATAAGCCTCGACAATAGTCTGAACCATTGGCTGACAATTTTCTACCTACTTATAATTCGACATTTTCTTTTTCATATAAACAACACGATAATAGGTACAATAATACTAACAATATATTAAAGTTTTTTAACAAACTATGTGATTATTATACAAAAGGACTATGATATATATACGTATATTATAATTTATTAAGAAACAAGACTGTGTTTTCTATAAACATTCGTTTCTACAATAACAAAAACCTTAGTTTCCGAAAATGTGAAAAACCTATGATTTTCGTTTCCCTTAAATCTAGGAGTAAATAATTAGGTAGGTATCTACTATTTCAAAAATTCTGTAATATTTTAATAATTATACATTGTTATTACAGTTGACGTGTTAATTATAAATTATTATCAGTTTTGAATATTTTTGGTTTATTTAATTTAGAACTATTTAATTGTGTAATAATATAATACTTGGAATAAACATTTTTAAAAATATATTAATATTAGGATTTAGGATGCGATTTGTAGTATCGTTCGTTGAAATGATTCGAAATTATTTGTTGTTCTGCATAAACAATCTCTAAAATTGGACCACATACTACATACAGTGTAGAAATGTACTAATGTACTATACTCCGAAACATAATTTTTAGAATGGGTGTCAGAAAAACCACATAAAACCAAATTACCAAAATTATTATGACCAGTGGTTATAATTTTTGTAAGAAAAATGCTTTGGCTGAAACGAATACCAAACCTTTTTCATTTCGGCAGAAACGATGAACGCGATGACCGCCCCGAGCGATCTTCTCGCCAACACGCCCAAGTTAGTTCAGGTGAACTTTATGAACAGACTTGTATCGTGTTATGAACTATTCAAGATGGCCGAAAAATAATTTAAATAAAAATAAAATGGCATGCAAATAAATGCAATGAATGGTTTTAACTTAAAAAAAATAACATATTTAAGTACCCGTATTATACAATCGTTGAACTAAGGTTCATTAGTAACATTCTTCCATGACCGGCCGCCTTGGGTATATATATATATGACGCGTATTGGAGATTTATATAATTAAATGGGACGTTTGCACATCGTTATTATTATGAATAACCTTTTTTATAGGCCATTTGCCCATACATATTGTTATAAAAATAATTAAAATTAAATGTTACTTTGAAAGCTAGGTTATCTTAAGCCCACTCCCCTCCCCCCCCCCAAAAAAAAAACCTCACGAATATGATGTAGTTAGGGCACTTGTACCTTAGAATATATATATATAGGTACACAAATGAGTGCAAAAAAATATTCAAGAAAGTTGATTCTACGACCTAATTCTGAGATTTTTAGCGTAAGTTATATAATATTTTTATTCGTTTTTTACCCAATAATATGTGTATGACGATATGGGGGTTAGTCATGATGAAATTAATTTGAAAAATCGTTCCTTGTACCTACGTAAAATTGGATTACATTTTTAAATTATTGTTATTAGGTGGACGGGTAGGGGTTATGGTTTTAGTAAAATAGTTGGGTACCACTGCAGGGTATCAGCTAATAATAGGTAGTTAATTGAAGTCCGCTTATATACACGCGGTCCCCCGGCAAGTCATTTTTCACCAGGTTTGAGGGAAACGAAAAAAACTTCACTCACCCGACGAGGTGTTTGTGTACTCTGCAACCATGTTTCTCTATGACTGGATTCTCGGACGTAGCCGAAACCGGTTTCTGTACTGGAGAGGCTCTTGCCACTGACGCGAGGCATACGATCGCAACGCACGATGCAAAGACCTAAAAAGACGATAAAATAAAACGTACGCATAGATATTTAAATATCCAAACGTTAAGGTACAGCTTTAGATTATAGGCATGCGCAGACTTTGGTCGCAGGGTATGCGGTTGACAAAATTTGCCCCTCAAAAGTACAAACGCCCCTAAATTAATACACGACCAATATCGCCTTTTAAACGTTTAAGATGACCGTTTAATCATTATCACTGCTTCTATTGTTACCCAAAAAACAATTTTTAAAAATTTGACAAGCGTATAATAATATATGGGTAATAATTTCATAATAATTCTTGTCACATAGGTGCAGGCGTATTACGCCGCGCACCTACAAAATATGTCGTTATTTTTCTTTCCAAAAACTGTTGTTTTGCGGCACTTAGTTCATAATATCATGCCCTCTAAAAAAAATTATCCATCCCCAGAGTCCACAGAGTATGAAAGCCCACGTCTATGACGTATATCAGATCATATTGGAATACAACTCACTTTGAACGAAGTCATTTTCGTTTTGAAATCCGTAAATCCAACAATGACAGTAAGATCTCTGCGGCAATTTCAGTAGTCGATTACAATGCTGTACTACAATGCTATAATAATGCTGTTCGAACAAATCACAGTCGCCGTCTGACGCGTACGGAATTCGGATCGTATGTCCGTCACATGATATCGTAAACGTGCGCGCATCGATCTCGTTAAATTAATTATAATAATTATAGTGTGATAATAGTGCAATTTAAAATTATTTTTACTTAACCAAATTATATATCTGTATTATACACTCGGTAATTAGGTGATTATTATAAGTGCGACAGATATTGTATTTATTCTTAGAAAACTCGAGACATCACGTACGTTACAAATACGTTACATTATACGTATTATTATATTATTGTAGACTTTGAGACATTTTCAATATTGTTTTAATTATTGTTCTTTATTAAATAATCGCCGTCGATTCATTGAGGAATATTAACCTTTTCCAACGTACCCGTGATTATACTCGGCTACATATTATTATTATAACGCATTGTCAATAAGAGAGGTGATAATAATATATTATAATTACGTTTTATGTGTATTATGATACATCGTATGTTATTTAAACTCTTCGTTTCAAACGTTTGGCCAGATCGGTTATAGTATTATATTTTTTAATCGTTTCATACTATTCATAATGGACACATATTTAACTCTTCATATATTATTTTATTAGATCTTATAATATCCAGTTTTGAATCCCGCTTCAGTCTTCACATTGGCACATCACCCTCGCTTTTCTACTTTCCATCTCATAATATTCTAATTCCACAAAAAAATTTCCACTATCTAGAGCTACAATGTCCCGATGCCAGTACCGTAACCACAGTGGGGGATGGGGGAATGGGTCACTTGGAGAAATTTAGGGTAATTTTTATTAATTTTTAGTGCATATATACATTGTACGAGATTTTAGTATAAATTAGGAGATTAAAAATATTATATCGAGAAATATTGTTTTCATATTTAATAATTACTTTAATAGATGTTAAGTATTTTTCATCAACACAAAATGTCAAAAGTTCAATATAATATAAAAGCGATAACGCCTTTGACAATATCCAGTGATTAACGGATGTTAAAATAACGATGAATATATTAGTGCCTAAAACTAGAATTTTAGTATTACTAAAATTGTTATTTTTTCTTTAAATATCTATTTTTTTCCACATTTAAACTTAAAATGTCCATAATAAAAATTTGATCTGCTGTACAGTAGGTTACAAGTGGGTCACTGTATAAAGGATGCTATTAAATTTGAATTCAATGATATAATATTATTGTATAAGAAAAACGATTCTGAGCGGAGACGGTATGGCAGTCTTGGTATATAAGACATATTATATAGGTACTTATCTATGGTATTAAAAAAAATTGACCTATACTAAATTCCAAATTAATCATATCACAATATCCATTAGGTACTTATAACGCGTTATACATCAACAACAAACCGTGATACTAATATACTATCATAGATATAAAATAGTATACTTGGGAAATTTCAAGTACCCACGAATAATATTATACAAGCACAACAAAATAACTAAAATAGTTATTCTAGGTTTTTAATAAGCAATTTCGTCCAAATTTGAACTTAAAATGACTCTAAAAATAAACTGTGACAATGTATTTTTTAGATTTTTTTGGTAACAGAATTAAATACTAACGTGGAATCTTGTTTTAAATTTTCAATCCTTAGATATAAAAGTTGAACATTTTATACATTTTTAACTACAAAATAGTTATTCAATTTTTAATTTGATGAATTTTGTCGAAATTCGATCTTTAAATGCTTATAAAAAAAAATTGTGAGTATGTATTTTTAATGGTTTTCAACTGATATTGTAACAATATATCAGGAGCCTTGTATTAAATGTTTACACTTTTTGGCCCAACAGATAAAACTTTATTGATATATTTTATAGAAAAAAAAACTAAAAAAATTGAAAACTGAAAATGTCCGTAAACAGCTCAAAAAGAGTCAAAATATTTTCAAAATTGTATGGTGTATAGGAAATGCTAATATAAACATTCAGTGAAATTTTCATGTATCTATAGTTATTCGTTTTTGAATTACAACAAAATAACAAAATCACTTTATGAGAAATCGAGCTGTGAATATCCAATATCGTAAAAATATGAAATTCAAACGCTCATAAAAATTTAATTTTACTTTCTTTTAGACATTTTTTTTTGTTGATAAAAGTAGATAATCTAATAAGGAATCTTTTACTACATTTTAAAATCTTAGATTTAAAAAGAAAAATTTTTATGAATTCTCAACTCAAAATAATTTGTTAATTTTCGTGATTTTTCTGTGAGTTTTATTGACATTCATAGAAAAAAAAACTAATAAAATTGGAAACTGGAAATGTTCCTAAACAGTTAAAAACAAATCAAAATATTTTGAAAATTTTGTCGTGTATAGAAAATGCAAATATAAACTACCAGTGAATATTTAATGTTTATACGTTAATTTGTTTTAGAGTTAAACCAAAAACGAAAATCGATTTTGTGGAAAACTGATTTTGCGTAAAAATTCCCGTTTTTCCTTAATTTTTATGTTGTTTTTCTCTTCGCTTTGGAAAACTATTGAGAATTTTACTTTTTACCCCCCCCCCCCAACTAGATTCATTTTCCTATCAGAAAAGATACTGTTGAAGAAAATCCAAGCACTTTTACTGTCCTAAAAGGTGATGACAGACACAAAAAAAAATTTAAAAAAAATTAAAAAAAACACATCATTGTAAAATCAATACATTCATCGTTTCACTCAGAATCTAAAATCAAGGGGGCCAGTTCAGGGCCACTGACTTTTCTTAGGGGGCCTTAACAGTTCATACATTTTAACTACAAAATAATTTGCAAATGTTCGAGATTTTGATGAAGTTTGTCAAAATTTGAAATTTATTAAAAACTTTATAATGAATGCTTATACAATAAAATCCGTGCCCTTATGTATCTTTAATATTTTTAAACTAATTTATAACAAATTATGAGGAACGCCTTGTATTAATTATTTTTCAATCTTTTTGATCCAACGAACAAATTATTTTAGATATATGTGTCGATAGCCGATAGATACCTATAAATAAATAGATCAAAACTAGGCAAAATATTTTGAATATTATATCATGTTCAGAAAATTATAAATTAGACAATAAGTAAAAATTTAAAGTTATACTATATGCATTATTAGTTTTTGTGTTACACTAAAAAACATAATAGGTTTTATTGGAAACTGGTTTTGCGTTAAAATTCCAGATTTTTTTCGATTTTACCTCTTAGAAGTACAAATTAAATTAAATTTTTTATCAGAAACCATCCTAAGTTAAAAATCGTATATAGTAGTAAAATATGAATACAGACACAAATAATAATTTAAAAAACTTATCATTGTAACAATGCATTCAACGGGCTACTCAGAATATCGTGGTGGTTCTATCCCTATAATCCCTACCCCATAACTATATAAAAACTGTTACGAAGTCTATGCGTCGATCTTTTAAATTTGAGTCTTATTATTTCGTATCAAACCTACCAAAATTAACCCTTCCCAAGTCCCTTCGTGAAATCAGTTACGTATTTGGTGTAAGTCGTGCTTGCTGTGAAAAAGCCGATCTTCATCGCACCCGCATCCATAAACTTACCAAATATTCATTATTTGCTAATTGTTATCTAATATGTATGAGTGATACAAATTACAAATTACCTATATACCTCTAATTATGTATGAATAATGACCACTGTATGTCTGTGTATATAATATTATGGTTAAAATGATTACCTACCTAGTATTAACTAAAAAGTGACTAATAATGTAGGTATGTGATTATGGTGCCTACACTGCAGTTGTACCTAGTGGATACAAATAGTATTCATGGGGTACGATAATATACCATATACATAATATTATAATTTATTTTATTATTGACAATTGCTTTATATTTTCATTTGTTTACGGCAGTAAATATTATTCTACAAACGGTGGTTTTTCAGAGTGCTGAGGGAGGAATCATAGTAAAAGCATATTGGACGTTTTCGCCGGATTTTTAATTGTTTTAGAAACATTTTAGAACATTTTGTTTGTAATATTTATAATTATCGATATTTTATATTTAATACGCGTTTTATTTATATTAATTACATTATTACGTTTTTTAACCAATAAGACGTGCCTATAGTGCCTATATATAGACTTATAAGTAGTTATCGGTACATTTTATATGAACAATAATAAGTTCAATGATAATAAATATGAATTATTATAAATAATTACAATTTTAACTTATGAATCAGCAGCCGAAAACATCGCATATTATGTATAATTACGTATACATATTATAATGTATAACGAACTTTTAAATCTCCTTTTCGATTACGATGAATCGTTTTAAACGGGTGGGAATGATATTTTTGTGTATTAATTGTTTTTGTGCGTGCTTGCCACTTGGTAATATGATCTATCGCGTGCGTCTAATCTAATGTGATGCGTATTGCTAAATCAAATAATAGTAATTGTTTAATATAATTATATTATTATTATTTTATGTTGATTTGTATGAACGTTCGTACGAAAAATGAGTTGCATGTCAACTCATTCGTCAAAATTGAAATTTAAAAAAACTTATTACAATAAAATTATTCCTAGACAATATTATTTTGTTTGTATACTTTAAAAAAATATATTTTACATTGCCGAAATCTATTTAATAAATTTGAAGGAGACTGATAAAAGGTGATTTACCAAGCATGCTCACCTCATTTCTTTTTTTACAATAGGTAATTCTGCAGTTATTCATAATCTGATTAAATATTCAAATATTCTAAAAATAAAAATTTGATCGAATTCAATGTTAATGAAAAATGGGGATGAGCATACTTTGTGAATCACCCTTTTAATAATTTATAATGACTTTACAATATTATACCATACAGTGAATAAAAACAATTTTATTTAATATTAATATTAAAGGTTAGGTATTATATTTTACCTTTAGAATAACAAGTATTTTTTGTGTATCTATATAATAAATTGTTATAAATGTAATAATTTATAAGAACGATGATTTAAAAAGTGGACACGTCAAATTATGTATTTGATATTAATTAATAATTATAATTTATATTGTTAATTATTATTGTACAATAAAATGTATTTATAGATTGTTACGCAGTTGCGTTCATCGACGAATAACTATTCTGATGAAATAATATTAAGTAATCAGTGCCGCAAAATCCACAGACGCAGGGATAATGCCCCTGTAAAAGGGCCACTAAAAGTTGGTTCAGGGATCCCGCTCCACCATCTAAATCACTTCATTAGGTTCTCATCATGTACAAGTCAAATTATATAAAAGTTATTCAATAAATTTATTTTTATAATAACGGGGCACTCTGGATTGCATATTAGAATATATTAGAATATTTATAATAGCTTAATACTATAATATTATAGATAACATTATTATAGTGTTTAATGAGTTATTGTTATGGACACGATTAGGATTCCCAAGGGCGTCCGAAGGAATTTAACAGGGGGAGGGGGCACAATATTTTCTTTTTTCAATTTTTTGTTTCACTATCAGATTAGTGCCAGTTGTAACGTCTATGGACTATGATTAAACTATGATTATGGTTAATCAGAGCTTAATCATATAGACGGTACAACTGCCCCTAAGTGTTGTTTGTGACATGTTTTCTTTCGTATAGGTAGAGAATGTAAAAACTATTTATGAGTTATTCATAAATAGTTAGTTAAAACTTTATATATATATTGGTAAATAGGTTATATACAAATTACTTTATTCACAATAATACCATCAAATATACGTCTTATTTATATCATAGGCTGACTGACCGTCTTCGCTCAGAATCTTTTTCGTTTGAACTTTAAATACTTATAAAAAAAAGTCGTGCTTACGGATCTTTAATATTTAACAACTGCTATTATAACAACTTATAAGGAACCTTGTATTCGGTTTTTAAGCTTTTTGACCCAACGAATAAAATTGTATTTACTTTTAAAACTTTTGGGAAACATTGTCCCCTTACAGTAATAATTAAATTCACTTTCCTGCCAGAAAAAAGATATTAAAGAAAATTGAAGCATTTTTACTATCCCAAAAGGTGATGACAGACACAAATAAAAAAAAAGCACATTGTAAAATCAATACATTCATAGTTCCACCCAAATTTAAAATTCTGTTATTTTCATAAACAAAATAGTGTTTCTTTTTTTCGTATTAAGGGGATAGGAAACAGTGATTTTCTGTCTTTGTCTTATACACATGTGCAACATAGGATTATAGACGTGTTCTATTTCCAACGTACCAATTAATCTAGTGAAGCGATAAGAATTCTGAAAACAGATTTGAATTTGTCGTCAAGTCTTCTTGAGATCGACTTTCCCACATTTTTTATTTTTTGTTTTAAACTTCTCCAAAAATTGAAATATGTAAATTTTTTAATTAATTTTTTTAATATATCGTTTTTATGATTTTGATGGGATAATATCAAAAATGTGGGGAAGTCGATCTCAAGTAGATTTGACGACAAATTCAAATCTGTTTTCAGAATTCTTATAGCTTCGCTAGATTATGCGGTACGTTGTAAATAGAACACGTCATAATCCTATATTTCACGTGTGTTAGACAAAGACAGAAAATCGCCCCTTCCAATCCCCTTAACTATTATTAAGAGTGTATTTTTATTTTTATTTATTTCCACAGAATAATGAGTCCCACTGAACATGTTAGTTCATAGTCTACACTCTACATGACTACATTGTAGGTGCAGTATAGGTAAAATGGTACATATTACGGTAAAAGTACAAATGCCGATGAAACCTATGATTTAACTGTAAATGATTAATGACTACTGTAGATCACAGGTTGTTATTTTGGGGATGGATATGGGTAGTTATTCAAACGTGATTTAGGTAGGTAATGACCATTATTGTAATTATTATTTAGAATACCTAAAGATATATCATAAATTAATTGTAAAATCTAATTTAAACCTTGGTAAAATAGTTTTCAATAAAATAATGTATAATTGATAATCATTATTGTATAAAATAGAATCACGCATGCAGGATTTGCAGGAAGTTCAATTGACTAAGTAATATTTATTTATATCGATACCTTTAAAACAGAGTAATAGTCTAATGAATATGAATAGCTAATCTGTTTTATTATTATACACTAAATACGATTTTTCGGTAAATTGTGGTATTATATATTTATATTGTAAACATGATAGATACCAAAGATTTTTTTAAAGATAAAAACGGAAACTGTCAGAGAGATCGGTACGAGCGGTTGAGTACAAAATTCAAAACGATTGTTAAAAATAATATTTAAAGATGATGGGCTTCATGAGAGTAATAGTGTACTACTGTACTAGTGTAGTATATCAGAATGCAGAGGCAAGAAAGTTAACATCGAAGAAAAAACCAAATTGAAGGATCAATTTCTAGTGCCCGACATTGTCGAAGTAGTCGAGATCGTCACCGAAGATGTGGATGTCGATGACATCGTAGTCGGCGTCGATGTTGACGTGAAGGTCGTCGAATTTGTCATAGTTGTTGTCGTCCTTGTATTCTTTGTCATGGTCTTGGTGGTGGATTTGGTCACCTGGTCATCCTTTGTCGGTTTGGAAGGAGTTTCGGTGGCGTTACTCATAATATTTCCTTCAGTCGTGGCGGCAAACGAATCATTTTTTATTAAATTCATTAAAGACTCGACGTTCGGCACATCTGTTAAACTAACAAAAACTAATATCATATAGGTAGGTAATATCATAGGTATAGGTACGATACAATGTGGTCTAAATTCAATTATAAAATCTATAGAGCACCTATATACTTACAACAATTATTACTCCAAAAACAATTATCGATTTTCAAAATCTTTTTTTCATAATTGTAAGATTTAATCAAAAATTTAACTATTTTCTGACATTTATTTACTATTTTTATCGGTATGATCTTTTAAGTTTTTAGTTTTTATGATGAAAACATACATTTTTAATACTCCAAAGCAGAATATTATTCGTTGTATTTCGATGGATAAAAATCATATTTTGGAAGAGAATTTAACTTAGATAAATAATAAGTATTTGAAGTTTAAATGAGCATAGTTTAATAGATTAACATTTTACCAAGGCTGGGCATTAACGAGTTAAAAATTAAAATTAAGTTAAACGTTAAGTTAATTTTAATTAAGTTAATCAACTCGTTACTTTTTTTTTCAAGTTAACTTTTAATTTAATAAGTTACTTTTTTTGAAGATTACCGGTTAACTTCAAGTTAATTTTATTTCAAAAATAACTAAATTAAGTTAATTTTCGTCCCAAGAATAATGCAAATTTTTGAATGTGTTTTTAAATTGATATATCATTTTAAATTTCCACAGTCATTTTCTTGGACGTAAAGAAAAACTATCTAATCAACCAAATTATGTGTCTGGATTTTTTTATTTTTGTAAATTAGACAAATTTTAACTTTACACTAAGTTAAGTTACTTTTTTTTCAAAGTTAACTTTTAACTTAACGAGTTAGCGAAAAAAAATAAGAGTAACTTTTGACTTAACTTAACTTAATTATTTTAAAATAACTTAACTTAACGAGTTAAAAAAAAACGTTAACTTGCCCAGCCTTGCATTTTACAGGGTACTCCTGCGGTCTTGTGCCACTTAGCTCCGCTCATATAACGCCTAGCCCTAGGCACCAATAACTCATAAATTAGTAATTACGGGTTCAAAAAATATTCTTCTTTGAAATAAGGAATTACAATTAATGTATGTTCTTATTAAAAAAGATACAAACAACTTAAAAATTATAATAATAAAAATAATAAAAAATTTTTTTTTCAAAAACGTTCTATTTTAACGATTTAAAGTAACTTAAAATAAATATTGTCAAAATCAATAATACACAGTTTTTGAAATAATCAGTGATTTTTGATAACAATAAAATAATAAAATAATCACCCATTATACAGTATTCATACTATATATATATAATATAGATTGTTATGTATAGGTACTTATGTTTAAAACTTTTAAACGTTTTATAAATTGTTTAAAACAGTTTAAAATCCAAATTAATATCGTGATAAAAACTCTTTGTATGTTTTCACGTCAAATGGAAATAATATCACATTATCATATTATTTGTTTGATCGCGCTGGCAGTTAGTTAAACATTAATAATAAATTAACCAACCACCATTACTATTGTTATCAATAGTGTCAACCAGAGACCAAAATATAAAATTGTTTGTACAAATATTAATTACGTTAATCAATAGTAAATAACAATGTATTCTGAATTCGTGTTAAGTTTGACCTATGTTTAAAGTTATAAGTAACAAACGCAGACGTCTTAGGGCATACATTTATAGTGCATAATTTTAAAGTATTCTAATGCGTAAAAGCCCTAAACATAAAAACATTAACAACATTTTTTAATTTATTGAGTTATGTTTATATTTATTTGGTATTTGAATTTGACAGAAATCATCCCAACAAGAATAAATAACTATGTAGTACTGTTTTAAATGTAATCTATATGTTAAATATATCAAATCAAAAAATGGTTTAAATGTGGTCTTAAAAAATATGTTTTTTACCCAAACAGTTATTTTGAAATAAACGGAGTACAACTGTTTCGTTTTTAAAATGAAAAAATACACCCACACAGGTCGTAATAATTAATAATAAATAATAATATTATATGGTAACATGATAAAATTGTGTAACACGGGGTAATGTATAGACAATTTAGATACTTAACTGTGTCGAAGATCGTTTCAAGAAATAACTGCATAATAATAATATGATGTAGGTAGTTCAAGGAGTACCACTCTGGAAGTGTCTATTTCCTTTAAACTTTAAAGTGCATTAAACATGATCATGTTATTATTATTTTAATTCAAAATGTTTGTGAACTCTCATAAGTGGAATTTAGATATAAAATGTAAGCCTCGTAAAATAGATATTAGAGTGTCTAATTTAATCTTCATATTCATATTTCATATTATTATGTTTATTATTTTATTAAGTAATTTTATTTTTTGAATAATATAAAAATATCTGTTCATACCATTAAAATTTATTTAAAAGTTTGCATTGGACACGTTGGTCGAGTGAACCACGCTAAATGTAAAGACACTACAGCACGCTACTTCATTAGTAGCGATTAACGTAGCGTCGCTACAATTTATACACCTAATGTAGCGATATACTTTAGTGCGCTAGTAATTTTCAGTTAGGGTATCGAAAATTACCATAAGGAGGTCGGAGTGGCGGTGTGACAGTACGGACAACCTTCAACCTATTTGGTAGTATTTGGTAAATATTAGAACTATAAGAAGATTGCTAGCTACTTTTTTGGGAGAGTAGCTGTAGCATTAGCGCGCTAAAAGAAATAAGAAACTAGTAACGTACCGACCCTTAATTACAAAAAAAAAATTGTTTTTTTGAAAGTTTGGTTTGGTTAAGTTTTGATACTCACTCGACATTATCTTGGATGTATTTTATTTCGTATTCCGGGTTATTGTCCCAATTCAACTCAATGGTCATAGTTTCGTCGCTTTGTACAGGATCGGCCATTGAAGTCTCTCCGAATAATGATATGACGAATAATATGAGTAACATGTGTACCGCTAAAACCTACAAAAAAAAAATCAACAATAATTATGAATGATATGTTGAACGTTTTCTGTATTGTAATAATAACGAAATACATGTCTCACATTGAATTCGGCCATTTTAACTTTTGACGTAAACCGAATTTAAACGTAGGTAGTCTATTATTGAATGTCTAATATTGCTACTGAATTATAATAGCACATTTGAGATGTAAAAAATAACAATAAATATTATGATTACATATTAAGCGTATTGTTTGAATAGGTCATAGGTACTTTGGACAATAACAACATGGAATTATAAAACATAGTGACACATTATCGATTTAAAGGTCCAAAGTTATTACTTATTAGGTATTAGCCGATTAGGTACCTACCTATTATGTTATTATTCTTATTATTATTAAGTGTTATTACTTATTAGCAGTGGCGTAGCCAGGATTTTAAAATGGTGGGGGGGCAAACCCAAAGTACTAAAAAAACAAAATCAACTATTAACAACAACAGTTCACATTTTTATTTTATTATAATTAAATTTTAATTTAACTTAATTTGACCAATACGATTTTGACGAAAAAACTTTGATTAATATCTTCTTCTGCGATTTTTTTGGATTTGTTTATCTTTGCCATGGCTAACCCATTAATAAGTCTCTCTTCGTTCATTGTTGGTCATAAATAATTCTTCAATAATTTAAGAGATGAAAATGTGCTTTCCGGTGTCGCTGATGTAACCGGTAAAGTTGCAATTTTGCAAATAATTGTAGTAATAATTTTACATTAGGTAATACATTTGTACAATTTGCTCCGGGAGGAAATATTGTGGTGTTGCAGTGGTGGCCAACCAGTCACCACAATAATAATATTAACAACCGATTTGATAAAAACTGATAAGAAAATAAAAATTACTATCAAACAAATTGATGAGGATCAAGAGTGTAACGTCTCCTCTTCACCTGGGAGGTCACGTCCCTCGGTGTCGTTTTGTCTCGGAAACTCGACCTCGGTGTGTGATATTATTACTAGGGATCAGGGTTACCCTATGTAAAGCAAAGTACTCAAAAATATATATATAATTATGCAACCGTTATTAAATATCGAATCTTATAATATAAAGAACATCTAATAATAGTTATTAGATAGGTATACTTATAAATTAGCTTAACTGAGGGTTACCGATCGGGCCATGGGGTGTCGACGTGTCGTGGGTGCTGATATCCAATGTGGGTTGAGCTGGCCGTCCACAGGTCCTCTTCAGGTCGTTGTCAGCTCTCGACTTCCACCGTCGACCATTCACTATGACTCTTGACTCTTTACTTCGCTTGTGACTCTCGACTCGTTCCCTCGACTTTCGACTCCACTACTTGGCCGCAGTGGACAAACAAGAGCAAAGTGGCCAACCACTTTTTATTATTATCGGCAATTATAATATGTTAATGCTCATATTTAATTCTAAATTATTAAATTAAGAAATATTTATAATTTATTTTTGCTTAAAATCATTGTATACGGGCAGAGGTAGATATAATAGGAGCGGTGGCCTAACCAGGATTTTGCTTTGAGGGGAGCGAGAAGAAGTAATTTAACTATATGTGTACTGAGGATAGGGCCAGATCTAGGGGGGGGAGAAGTCGGGGATTTATCCCCGGGCGTATAATCACAGAACAATTTAATTGTATTTAATTGTATTTAACAGTATAGTTTTCTTAGGCGTATTTTTGAGGCTTTAAATTTGTAAATTGAAAATTGAAAATGGACTTCAAACAAAAGGCAAAACTAGGGACAAAATAATATTTTACAGGAAATGTGAACCTAATGTTGGATACCTATGCCAATAAAATAAAATTATTTTATTTTTAATCGAGATAAGCAACAACTAATAAGTAATAACATTGATTTAAAAATTAAAAAGAACAAATATGAAATAGGTACGCCGTGGAAATACCCGTCCGCAACATTGTCGGCGGGAGTGTACGCGCCTTGGGGCCGATTTCACCAACACAGTTAATAACGGTTAAACTTCGATTAAGCTAAAATCGGCTTTCACCTCTTCTTTCTGAACTTCGATCAAAGTCAAACCGGGCTATAATCTGTTACCAGTCGTAAGCGTGATCGGAGTTCAAAGTATTTGGTGAAATTTTCAAATTCGGCCGATTAAACTCCGGTTAACTTCAACCGTGATTAACAGTGTCCATCATATAGATTAATGTACTCTCCGATTAGTGACATAATAAAGAATGGTAAATGCCATCGTTTTCTTGCATATACTATTGTATCATGTAAATAGTTACAAAAGTACAACATAATTAAATAATTAAAACATAAATACTATCCTATTGATATGTAGCCCAAGTCAGATTGAAAATTATGTTTTACATATTATATTAAAATAATTTAAAAGGAAATTTATATTCTATTTGGTTAGTTATTACTATTATTATAAACTGTTTTTATTTTTTATATGGTTCAAGATATCAAATAGACAACCGGGTTCTTATTATTTTGGGAATTTATAAAATGTAGAATGTTGATATTTTAGTATATACATATACATTTAATCCATAAGTTATAAATTATAATCCATGAGAAAGTAAATTTATTTATCATGTTATAATCAATATATTACAATTTTCAGTACCTAGCTACATAATTACATTTTTGTTTCATTGTAATTTTTCCGTACCTACATATTAAGTTTTGATTGGAACAAATATTAAAAATGAGAAATTTTATATATTGTTATACTGTAAATTAAATACCTATCGTTCTTTTACATAGAGCTTTTTATATTAAAAGTAAGCAATGGATACCTAATTTAGATTTGTTAATAAATAATTCATACATGTTATTATTATATCAATATTATTTATTCTAAACCTGTAACTTAGAAATATTGACCACAGCTGTGGATTTCAGCTTTAAATACACCATTAAGAAGTAATTCTAAAACTATTACTTGATTAGTTTAAAATTTAAAATGTTTCATTTTTAAGTTAAAATCGTTTAAATTATTTGTGGTAAATAAATTATTGGTCCAGTATATTGCAAAATGTTTTGTAAATGTTGGTCCTCACAATACTGTGTGAGTGTGCTTGATTTTTTGTAAAAAATTTACTAATTTTAGTATTTCCTTGAGATCAGCGTATATTTTTAATTTTTAACGGCCCTGACTGAGGATATGAAAATTGTACAGCCTATATAAGGTGTATGTATAGCCATATAGGATCTCTACCCTTTGGCATTTATAATTTAAATAAAACAAAAATAGTATAAATCTATCAACATTAATAATTTGTAAAAATGGTTCAAGTTTAATAAATACTAGAAAAAATTTTGAGTACATCTATTTTATATTTTTGAACAACCATTGTTAAGGACAATTAACCTAAGTATAAACATTTTATTAACTGAGAAACTATGCATTCAAATTTTAAAAAATTATCCACTAAACAATTTATAGAAAAAAGGTGGTTCTCATTTGGAAAACAGAAATTTGTATCGCCGCAGCCCACTCGTTAAGTAGGCAGTAAAATATTGTCTTTTAGTTTATTTAAAAATTCCAAAAAATCATAATTTGAATATAAATCCATTACTAAAGGAAAAAATGGGGATGAGCATGCTTAGTGAATCACCATGTATAACATTATAAACTTACTTTTACAACAATATTATTTTATTTAACATACAATATATACGTACATCATTTCCACTCACCTTTAATGTTACACAATCAAAATACCCTAAATGTATTTTAAAACTTTTCTGAAATTTTGAGAAGGGCAAAGCCTTAAATTGACATTAATTTTTAAGCCACAATGATATATGTCTTTAGTTCGTACAATTATAAACAGTTGAATAATTTTGTCAAAATAAGCAATACCTGACGGTTTTTATTAGCTTAATATTTTAGATATTTTGTACTAAAATATTTATGAATGTATTGGACACTGATTGATTATGTATTTGAAGTGCCGTGTTCGGGAATCGGCGGTATAAATTATACAATTCTGTGTTCATTTGTATACACGCTGATATTCAAATGAACAAAAATTGGGTATAAGTCAATGGTTAATGTATGAAAAGTAAACCATAGAAATAAATATAATTGGTGTGTCTGGCCATTGAGATGAAAACATTAGTCTTTGTACATTGGTTAATGTAAAAATGGTTGTCAACATTTAAGTTTTTAATTAGTAAATACTTATATTATTGAACAAATGTACAGTGTAGCTAGTAGTAACAAGAGTTTAAGAATCTCTATCTTTATATATTCACAAATTGACCTGCTCTAATAACACATTCGTTGTTATGATAGTTGTTAAATATTATAAATAATGCAATGAATTATGCTTGAAGCTGTAAAACGTATAAATATGCTGAGCAATTTTCACCATCAATTGGAAATATTCCATATCATTAAATTAGTATAATTTAAGTACATTAGTATAGTAAACTACAAAAGAATGATTGTATTTTTTTTCCTCTCAGAAATTAAAATACAAAATTTCAAAATAAAAACAATTTATTTGAATTCAAATATTGTATCAGAGAATCATAATTCATAACATATAGTCTAGACAACTCAAAATCTCAAAAGGAATAAAAATAAATTAAACTTATGTTTAGACAAAACTTAAAAACACTTCAAGGAAGAAAAAAATATGAGTTATCAAAACTCGACTGTAATTTAAATATTTAATATATTATCTTACGTGGTAATTTAAATCAATAAATCCAAAATTTATTTGAATTACAATTAAAAATGTATTTATATTTTGAATTATTTATTTACAATACATTTAGAGAGGTATAATGCTAAAAAAAAAAAATAATAAATCACTACTTAAAAACATTTAAAAAAAGGTTTATCTTTTAAAATGTACTATGTACATAACTATGAAAAAAATCATTTGTAATACAAAATAATATACATACACTATCTAGAAATTTGTCAACAGAAACTGGTATTTTGATTAATTTCTAGTAGACCAGAATTTGAGCATGAACACTCAAGTGCTGATACAACAACTTTTAGTATACAACATAATATAGATCTCTGACCATTTATAATAATAAAAAGAACTGTATATAAAATAAATGGTTCAAGTATACCTTAATACCAGGTACATGCATAATGTGAATAATATTACAATAAAAATAATTCATATTGAAAATTGTAAAACTAAATTAGTTTAACAATTTATTTCCTACCAACAATGGACAAACACTAACCAAGTGTTTATTCGCCGAGAAGTAAGGTTTGAATAACCAAATGCCTCTTTTCATCATACACAAAATTGTTATTTTTGAACAATTTGCTCTCAAAGAATGGTCTCAAGTCATGAACATCTATCTGTTTAACCTATAAAAATATATTGGAAAATGTTGAACTAGTCGTAAAGGAGAAAATGTCATAAAACAATATTAAATTACTTACTCTATCTTTGAAATCTTTTTCGTGTATTTCAATTGTGTTAACTGTGACACCATGTATACCTCTAATGTAAGCCAACTGATCAGTCGCCATTTGATGTAATATAAAGTACAAAAGCTCCGTGGTATCTTTTTTGAATGATAAGTACTTTTGGAATGTCTAAAAATGTTGATACAAGTAAAGTAATTAGTTTAGTTTCTTGCCTTTCAAGTAAGTAAATCATTGAAATTAATTACTTTTCTCATAGTTTTCATTATACTGTATTTTTGAGTTTCGATAAATGACTCTAACATTATACGAATAGCCATGTTGACATCGTCTTCTTGAACATAGTCTCTTAAATGCATTTTAGCATTAGCTTCTGCCATACGAATCATACTTTCGATATGTCGGACTGTAATGGGCAAACTTCCAGTCATCTATATTAAGTACATATGAATAGGTACAAATTAAAATAAAATTATACATTTTACTTAATATTAGAGTGCCTAAAACTGTTAAATGTTATAATTATTTATGTTTGTAATTCGTATATACATAACACCTTGTGGGCAAAGCAGTAAAATATTCATATAATATTATATAATAATTAGTAGGTACATATTATATTATAGGTAGCTTAAAAAAAAATATTAACTACATTAATAATAACAAATCAAGTTATAAGCAGAGTAAGGACTTGTTTGCATTTGTATTTTTATTCTGGTTGCTTGTGTGATATGCTACGTGAACACAGAATTTGTTTCATGACATAACAATTTAAACTATGAAACTTTTATGACGCATATTTTGCATAGGTATTTTGACATTTAGCCATTTTATATATACTTAACAATTTGAATAGCATTTTTCATACTTTAGTGCGTAATTTGGTGTTTTTGTTGTTTTTTTTAGACATTTTGGAAATAATTACAATTGTAATATAGACAAAAATATTATATTTTTATAGTTTCGAATAATATTGAAATAAATTAATAGGTGTACTCATAGGTATTATTTTTTTTCTTTTAGATAAAAACCACCAACAAAACACAAATGACTGAGGTACTTATATAAATTCCTTTTATTATACATTTTTGATACGAGGTATATCCAGAAAGTAAGTTCCGTTTTGTATGTATATTTTTCATGGGAACAATTTAATCATCCGCCCTACAGTCCAGATTTGGCACCCAGTGATTTTCATCTTTTTTTACACATGAAATCATTAATGGGTGGCCAGAACTTCAACGAAGATGATGAGGTGAAAAAGGCTATTAGCGCATGGTTACAATCACAGGCGTCATCTTTCTATGATGAAGGGATACAAAAACTAGTACCTCGATATGATAAGTGCTTAAATAATGGTGGTAACTATGTTGAAAAATAGAGTAATACATGTATTTTATATTCAAATAAAATTTATAATAAAATTTACACATTTACATGTTTTTATTGCCCAACGGAACTTACTTTCTGGACACGCCTCGTATTAATTGATCCCTATGTTTTTAGAAGTGAATTGATTGTCATAAAAGTATAAAACCAATGTTTACCTAGTGAAGCTCCAAGTTTTCTTTACTTTTTTTAATATAAATTCCTATATGTATTCCTGTATTGGAACTCCATTCGATTATTAACTTAAGTTTATATTTATAGTAAATAGTCGGATAGTTCATAGGGATTAAGCACAAAATATTTCAGAATAAGGAGTATGGTAGAATGGCATCATCGTAGAAATTGTATGACAGCACTTATGTCATAGGAATATAAAATAATATAAATTCAATATTTAGCCATCACTGTTGTACTCACCATAGACTCTTGTCGCAGCTGACTATACATTTTAGCTACTTTGTCTTGGTCCATACGATGAAGTTTTGGATGAATGTTTTGTTTAGAATAGACAATATACTTTTTCAATAAATCTTGAGGTATTGGTTCCATATCAGTGGTAGAAAACGGATTTCTCAATTCACATTCTTTATCTTTGCTCAATGGATGGTTACGCATGTGTGACTGTACCACAAATGTTGCAAGCTGATTGTCTTTAACCTGGTCGACTTCATCTCGAACAACACATAAAATGTCAAACCTTGACATAATAGGTTCTGATAAATTAACCTAAAAAATAGAGTTATAAACAATTAGTTGATTTTGATATCTCGAGTTTAATTTATACATATGGGTAAAATGCCGAGAGCAGCGGTCCTGATGCACACCGCTGCTAATTTGAACTTGGCCACTGACGACATCTTTCTTTGAGCATACAATTGCCTAGAGAAAGAAGTCTTCATCCACTACCCCCTCCCCAGAACTGGGCATATCAGAAACCCTATGGGTTATCATAAAGACCGAGATGTGTTTTTTAAGTCCAATAACTAATTTGGATAATAGTGGCATCAGCCTAGCTAAGACCGTTGTCGACGTAACAATTGTTGTAAATTAATTAATAAAAAGTGTTGTTCTAGTCACTTAATGTGTGTTAATTATTTAAACCATCTCTCTCCGCCTACAAGGTAGTAGATACCCAAATAAAAATTCTACCAAACTTAACATTCAAGCCTACGTCTTGTGCGTTGCCATACGAAAAAAAAATGTAGACGTACATTTTCAGAAAAAGTCATAGCCGGATCATAACGTCCACCAATTGGATTGGCTGCAGCCATAACAGAACATCTAGCTTGTAACGAGGTCACAATACCAGCTTTAGATATAGAAATACTTTGTTGTTCCATAGCCTCATGAATTGAAGTTCTATCTTGATCATTCATCTATAAGTAGATAATGATTGAATTATTCAAAGCTATCCATGATGTTTTTATTTACTTCCTTTTACATACCTTATCAAATTCATCAATAATACAGACACCTTGATCAGCCAATACTAATGCTCCTGCTTCTAACGTCCATTCCCTAGTCTGATGATCACGTTTAACGTAGGCTGTAAGACCAACAGCGGAAGCACCTTGTCCAGTAGTAAAAACGGCACGTGGAGCTATTTTCTCAATATATTTTAAAAATTGAGATTTAGCTGTTCCAGGATCACCACACAACAGTATATTTATATCTCCACGAAGTTTATGTTTGTCACCTATTCAAAACATTTATCAATTATTATTATTTATTTATTTACGTGTAAGAACTCAATAACCAATTATTTTTTTATGTTAATAAACAATTAAAAAACTATAAATTATTAAGTATAATGTCAAATTTTAAATTTATTAGGTATAATTTACATAAACAAAATCAGTGGCATAGCAACTTGAACATTTTCAGAGGCAAGTCCGTCCATCCACCCTGATAAAGACATTTACTGTCATATTTTTAACTACCTATCATATTCAATACTAAAATATTACTTTATACAAAATTATTATACCCATTGGTACCCTACTACCCCTGATAAACTAAGAGGTGGCCGCCTCTCTGTTACCTCCTTTGCCATGTCACTAAGCTGAATTGTTATAAGAACATGGAACTATTTTATTCTATTTGACCCTGTGTGTGGTTTATTATACAAGCTGTAACAGTATGTACAGTATACTTTACTGAAGAAGCTAATTATTCATTAAATAAATGAAATTATATTTAAATTAATAATAAACTCAATGATTTAGGTTTAATAATTTTTAGCTTATAAAAAAATAAATATTAATTACATATAAATAGTAAAACGGTTTCCTTAGATTAAGTGGTACATATAAATAAGTTTTAGAAATGTGATGATTTTGTTTGTGTTGCCTTGGATTGGGCTAAGAGCTGTTTAATAATTGTATTCAGTTGTTTATGTAAAACCCATTAATTAATATCCAGAAAATGGTTATTTGTAAAATAACAAAATGTTACCTATTACAATAATGTAATATAAAACCACCAGTTAAATTATTTGTTTTAATAGATAAAATACTTGAATAATTAACCTATTATATAGATTGCAATGATATAATAAAATATAAGTAGACAATAAGTTAACATAGAAATTTTTAATTCAAATTAAACAAACCTGGATTTTTTGGTTCCCCGCCAAATAATGCCAATGCTAAACTTTTTTTGATATAATCATGTCCATAAATTGAAGGGGCAATAGATGCGGCAATACGTTCACCGATTTTATGTTCTTTGGCCAATTTCAATATTTGTGAAACATCTTCATCAGTAAGAGACTCAACTATATGTTTATTGTCTTTTATAATTAAATAATTTGCCATAATAACAGTAGCGAACACTGGAAATCCATTGCCTGTATTTAAAGACCCTTCGTAGCTGTTTGAATATATTCCAGTTACATCTATTTCATCGCCAGGTTTGCATTGATCACACAGATCGGCTAAAAGAATACACTCTTTACTACGTGGTATACGGCCTGGTGGTATACTGCCTGGAGACTCTTGTATGGTAATCTTTTGGTAATTACGATATAAAGTTTGTTCCATGTTAACCTAATGCAAAATTTAATAGTTAACATAAGACAATAAACTAAGAGTGTAACTTTTAAAAACTTACCATAAATGGACCAGTACTTTGACATTCAGGACATGAACCAGGCTTAATTTCTTCACTTTGTGACTGAACAAATGGTCCGAGAACATGACCACATTTAGAACAATCGTATTTAATAATACTAAGTTGAGGAAACACACCTGTAGTTGACGTTACAACACCACGAGTTCTAACCAACTGATTCAAATGTATTTTTCTAAAAGTAAATTTTAAATTAGCAACTGTCCTATAAATAATATATTTTTATTTTTAATCAATTACTTGAAAGTACGAATTTCTTCAATAAGTGGTAAATCTGTAATCCTTACAAATATTTCAGCGGTGACTCTGCCGTATTGAGGATACATCGATATAACTAAGTCTTTGGCTACATCGTTGAATATACTAATCATTTCTAAAGGTGCTTCTGGCAAAAAAAGTGCCAGAGTATGTTGTTTGTTGGCCAAATTGGTAAATTCTACTTCCAAGCTACATAAATTACTCTCACACATTCTTCTGATTTTGTCTTTGTACAGATAAGCACCACTGGAAGTGACATCATTGCGCAAAAAATTTTTGAAACGGTTTGCAATTTCTGTCTTAGGACCTAACATAGCCACCCACTCAGAAACTGTATGTCCTTTAGTATCTTGTAAGTTCTCAATTGACTCGATCATCTAGGGAAAAAATTATATTAAAATTAAAATTATTATCTAGGGATCAAATATGTATAAAAAAAAGTATATGGAATTCATACTTCTTCGTCTTCATCATCATCAACAATGAAACCAGTAGCAGCTCTTTCAGCCATTCGTCTTTTTTTTCTTGATGCCTCATCATCGTCATGTTCATCTTAAATAAAACATAACATTAAATCATGTGCAAAAACTATTGTAGTGTTATGGAAATACAAACCATAAAGTATGTCATCAGCATCCCTTCGACCAGTTCCTTCTTCTCGGTCACGTCTTTGTAACTCTCTTTCGGCTGCAGCTCTTGCACCTGGACTCATGTAATCGTAATCGTCTTCGTCCAATTCACCGCCATCATAGCGATCGAGCGCAGGTATCGGACGATAATCCCTGTAAGATAAATTGATCAATTTATTTGACCACAAATCGTAAAAATGTTGTCTCCTTACCGTTCCAAGTTGTCGCCAAACAGTTCTTCTCCATCTTCTTCCTCCGGGTCATCAAACTGACTCAGACTCAGTACGTCGGCTTCGCTTAACACTTCGTCGTCAAAGTTACGTACCGGCGATGTGTCATCGGCACCCCCGAGGTCCTCGAAAGGTTCCGGGCTGCTGAGATCTCTCTGTAGATCAAGACGCAACGATTATTCAATAAAGAGGCTATTACAATAATATAATATTTATACGATAGATCAATATTGTACTCACGTCAGACATTTTTCAGCAGTGTACTCCGAATGCTCGTCACAGAACAACAGCGAGAAACGGATGTAAATACTTCAGAACGAAACGCAATGTGTGTAATTGCTGATTCGTAGAATAACCGAGACGTAGAATTAATATTAATAATTTTAATATACGGTGAACGAAAATGCGACGTTGTGTCCGCGCAATCCGTAGCCTGTTGCACGACTCGTGTAAAATGGATACCGCGACTCGTCAGTGGTCGGCGGTCGGCCGAGCCCGAGGTAAACAAATAACAATCGAAATGGCGGGAAATGTTCGATCACGTGATGACGTTAGATACGTAATCAAAAGACTGTTGTCACTATGTTCAGTCAGTGGAGTAACTTTTGCCCGGCAAAATCGTTGCAGATTTAATTGGGTAACAATAATATTAATAGTTATAAATTGTTGGGGCGTTTCAGTTTTTGCCGTGGACGAATAAAAAAAGTGCTTACATAATATTATATTGGTACTTAATTCTTATCTAAAAATTATAGTCATCGTTTTCGTGATAGAAATACATCGATGCGATTTTTTTTTATAAGCATTTGAACTTCAAATATTGACAAAATGTATCAAAATTATTAGGTACAGCAGGGTTCGCGGCCAACCTTTTCCATCAAGTGGGCTGTATTAAAAATGTTTAATACCTGATAATCGACCACTATTTGCGTGAGTACCTATATTGTTTATATTATATTAACATCATAATATACTTTTATAATTTATCCATATTCCATAGTAAAATTGTGTTTTTTCTTCTCTAATAAATTCTTTACTATTCGTATATACAACTTAAAGTGTGTCTCAAACTTTATAATAATTGCACACGTGATCAACGGATATTGGTATAGGTAATCAATTTTTAATACGATCGCTCAATATCCCTCTAAAGATCGACCAGACATTCTATGGTTATTGGTTACATTTGAAGTTCCATATATATTAATATGTAGTAAATGTTTATAACACACAGTAAAACAGAACATATAGAAATAAAACTCAATATATACACAATAGTAACATAGTGATAAAGTACAGCAAACTTATAACTATTACATTTATTAAATATTAAAATCAAAATTAACATTTAGTTAATTTACTAACGAAAATATATCCCTATGTTTAAAATGTCTTATACATTTATATTTTCCCTTTTAACACATCCTCCACTTCAGTGGCGTAGCCAGGGGGGCTAAGGGGGCTTTAGCCCCCCCCCCCCATTGACTATGTGTTGACCTTAGAATTTTATTAAGATTAATAAAATAAAAAAATAGAAAATGTAAATAAAAGGCATAATATTGTAATTGCATTTTAGATTCTGATCGGAGCGAGGGATTTATTGATTTTACAAGGGTGTTAATTTTAATTTATTATTTTTTTTATTTTGTATACAAAATTTCTACTAGAAAGAGTGCTTCAATTTCAACATATAGTATCTTATTTTTTAGAAAATTGGATCAAGATGGTACTTTAAAAAGGTCATTTTTCGATTTTCTCAATAGTTATTTAATGACACTGGAAAAACCACCGATAAATTACAAAAAAACGGCTAAAAATGGGATTTTAATTTCAATTTCACCATAAAAATAAATAAAAATATTTATTTTGTTGTAATTTATAATATTAATTCAACACACAGGCATAATATAATAAAATATAATAACAATATAAAATATAAAATATCCAGACTGACAAACCTTCTCCGCTCAGAATCGTTGTTCGTATACAATGATAATATGATATCATTGAATTTAAATTTAATACAATCCATTATACAGTGACCCACTTGTAACCTACTGTACAGCAGAGTGACATCCACTTACCTGCTTTTTTGTATTTTTTTGTGATATACTTAGCCCTCCCCATACAAAATTCTTGGCTACTCCACTTCTCCACTTTAAGAATTATGTGAGGTTTCCATCAACGGTTCGACAATGTTATGTTGCTGCCAAATATGCTATGTATTGTTTTGATTCATCAATTATACAATTCACAAACTATTGACTATATAGTAACATAGGGGAGATTGGAAAATTTAATGTGCTTCGGAAGCAGTGGCGGCTCGTGCCTAGGTGTGCAGGTGTGCGCACACCACATAGATTAATTAGTTATAATAGTGAAAATGTATAATAAAAATGTATACCTAATAATAAATAAATTTTAATACAATATATTCTGTTAAACTGTATTTATTAGGTATGTAAAAAAATTAAATTTTAAAAACAAACAAACGACTATATTTATTATTATACTCCTAAAATGTAATCGAGTTATGCAACAAATACTCATCAACTGGTGTGCAGCTCAATCTGAACACCGTCTGTCCGTGTAAAATACGTTTGGTTGTCGAGTGGGGGAATGGGCAATTATATGTGACTTTGGTGTGCAGCTGCCAGCTACAGCTGCACTCTCGTCAGGCGGTCGCACGCGATAAACAAAATATAAAATATACTAATTATTATTATTATTATTATTATTATTATTATTAATGCTAATAAATATTTAACTTATTACATTTATACTTAAAACAGATTATTTTTTTTTAAAACAAACTTTTGCAATAATTGCACACCACCTACTTTGAACACCACGAGCCGCCACTGTTCGGAAGGCAAAAACACAAAATATAATATAAACTGATTTATATAGAGGTTCTCAATCTGCAGTGAATATATATAATATAAAAATGAATTTAAAAAAAATTATTAAAAACTAGCTGATCCCGTACACTTCGTTGCCCGTTAAATGTATCAACTCTATATGACTCAAACTTTGTTCAATTCGTTATTTAATATTCGGTGTACGGTGTTCAAAATTTATCTTAACTTTTCCGTTGCCCGGAATAAAAATTCCTAATCGCAGCAGTAAATTATCAGGTAGGCAATCTACCTGCGGTAGATCGCGGACCTCGTTCTGTATGTACGTAAGTGTACTCTAAAGTAATTCAATTCTAAAGTATCAAAGTTATACCAAGTTTGTCGTTTTTAATTAATTCCACCTACGGTTGATTAAAATAATCGATTTATTTAATCCCATTAAACATAATTTATATTTAAAAAGTAAAGCAAATATATTTATTTTTTTCCATTATTATTATTACTATAATAGCTTAAAACCCCATGGCAACAATTTATAAACAAAAATTTCCATCTGAAATCTCAATATTCCCGATTGAGCACCTCCCGGGAATGGTCCTCTCCCTTTTTAAATTAGCCTATGTTTTAAGTTGGACCAAAATACACACAGTGTAAAAATTACATCAAGATCGGTCCAGTAGTTTTTACGTGAAAGAGTAACAAAGTCACAAACTTTCGCATTTATAATATTAATAGGATATATTGACAAAAAACAATAATACAAATCAACAAACATGCCCGATTAACCAATAGGTAGTAACCAATATAATATAATACACTGTTGCGCCACTGTTGTTTTTTTACTTACAGATTTCCTACTTTTCCGGTAGATTTTCCTAAAATTTTCTTTCGTAAAAACCTTCTCCTGGCAATTACGAATATCTTGAAAAAAATTTAAGCCAAATTCGTCCAGGCGTTGTTGAGTTATGCGCTTACCAACACATTTTGCGATTCATTTTTATATTAAAAATGATCATAATATTTTACCGATTTATCATTTTGAATGATTTGTTTTCAAGTCGTTAATAGCAGACAGTAGCACGTGACTGATCCACAATATATTTATAACATGTAGGGTTACGAAGGAAAACAATATTTAAGAGCACCTCTGAATTAAATGATGACTATTAATTATTATTATACTTCAGTTCCAGTTATGTTTTATTAAGAACACTCAACGTTAAAAATGTAGATAAATTGTCCTTGTAATTATTAATTAAATCTATATCCACCTTTTGTCCGTTTATCGTTATCTCAACATTGAATATCGATTGAATGGACCATAATCTACATACATTGACTTCACTATACTTGAGCCTTATAGGCGTTTATAAATTATAACAATAAATTTAAATTAAACATCATAGGTTTTAAGCTACACCTATTTTTTTCAAACCCGTCTCCCAATTTCTTAAACATTTTAAGCTAAAATTGTCATCTTAAATTCTGAGCTGAGCAATTAGTTTTATAATTTTGTGTGTGTGTGTGTGTATCCCTTCTGCAGTTAAGACTTTTCAATAGGTTTAGGGTTGTATTATATATATTTATAATTACCTACAGTTAAACCTAGCTATTATTACAAACGTTGTTTTTTTTATAATTGATTGTGGTTTACTAACACGCAATAGATGTATATTATTTTATTTTAAATTTATATAGATATATAGGTATTAGGTAAGATTATTATGGATAATATGTAACATTTATTAGTTTTTAACATAACTCGTGTTCGGTATAAGCAGTGAGGGCGTACCTATACTAAACCATATTTTAAGGGCAATGTGATGAGGCTGTGTCACTGGCCAGTGACAAGATGAGACGTGTTTGAGAGATTTTTATTAATGGCTCAAAAACTACTAAGCTTTGAAGATTGTAAATCTCTCCACTATGTTACCTACAACTTACTCTATATATTTCTAACATGTGCAGGGACTAGAAAATTATTTCGTTTGTTAAATATTAATTTGTTCATTTACCTATTTATTCTTTAAACACTTTATTACATAGGGACTTTAAAATGATTATCGCTTAACGTTTGTTTCTATATTTAAAATTTTTTTATAATAAATAAATAAATCTAACTATAGCATATTAAAATTTAAGCAAGTGTTCATCAGCAAATATCAAGTTTAGAGGTATATTCATATTATACTCTTTATTATTTCTCGATGTTTGATGGAGATAGCTTAAAAACACATTCAACTATAGGTACATACCTACCTCCATTTTTTTTTTTTGATTAATTATTAAATATGCGATTAATGAAAATATCAATAATATGTCAATATTAATATTTTTAGTAGGCATCTAATTTGTATTACATTCTAAATAAAAACTATATGAAACTAATAT